TTTGCACCACTTACCTAGTCATCTAGATCACTTTTATCACCTGCCTTTGTCATCACTGGCAGGAAAAATGTCACAAGACCACCTGGACCTCCAAAACCACTGTGCACCTGCCTTTTCTCCATACATTACTGTCTTCCAATTGCCTTGGTGTAAATTGTCTCAGAATGAGAGTTTGTCTGTCTTAGATGGCTGAAGATCTTTATAGACACAAAATCTGCAGGATAACAACAACTTGATGGTAACTGGACATTCCTAAATATACAGCACTCTTCCTATACTATCTCTTCCCTGCAAATCAAAAGCAACTCATTCTTTTTGCTTTGTGTATACAAGACTTTGGCCTGAACTTGTTGCAGACTGGCTAGCTGCAAACTAGCCTGATCCATCTTCTGCTCTTGTTTAGTGACAGACAGTATTTCTCACACTGATGTGAAGTTCTATAATACATCAATCTGCAGCTCTCTACACCATTGTTATATGATCCTCTAGACATTTTTAACAGTACTGGAAGAAATCTGTACTTCATATAACCTTGTGTAGCTAAATTAGTAGACTTGTACAACAGTACTTCATATGAAAGCAAGTATTTTGGCAGAAAACCAGACTACATTCATTACAGCTCCCCACAGTTGCTTAAGACATCATTAGAACTAAAGCATTTTACTAGGCATTTCTGCCTTGTCGGTGTTATCTTCCCAGTAGCAGAAAAATATATTTTCATATTATAACAGATACAATCACATCATTTAAAAAATCCATTTGAGAGGGGAACAACAAACAGAAGAAAAGGAGGAAATAGTTAGTGAGGCCTGTGACAGAGAAGTCATATCTTAACTGAATAGGCACCGATGTTCTTGAACCAGCAAACAGCATTGGCCAAGACCTTCAAAGACAACTGTAAAAAGGAAGTTTGCTTGCATATATTAATTAGCACTTAATTCTATCTTCACTGAACAATGTAGCTGGAAAAGGAGAGATGAAAGAGGAGGAGGAAGCCAGAATGCGCCCTGCTATTTAAATAAGTTAGAAGTATTTTCTGCATACTTTTCCTCTGAAACCACCACGCACATTTATGGCACTGTATAAGAAGCTTTTTATTTGGTAGTTGCTGACTGACAAATAGGATTCAAAAACTGCTTATGCAATGCAAGAGGGAGTTTCCCAATACCTATCCTTTGCATGGAATTAAACAAATTTGTCTAAATGCAGTTAGGATGAAAATGGTTTTCCTTAGAATATCCAATTCTGGTCACGTGACAAGCAGGAAGCTTATATTTCAAACCAACCCTCTGATAACTCAACTTTGGTTTAGACAGACTCTGTTAGCAGTGCACACATTTTAAGCGACAAACTAACTACTGTCCCTCATAAGTCCTTAAACTAAAATAACATTCAGCAAAGCAGTCTAAAATATTTTAATGTTGAAATGCCTGTGGGCCTGAGAATCATTTCACCTATTGAGACAGCTTGTCCATACATCTTCTGCACTACAGGGAACCCAGGCTGACAGAACCATGAGTTCCCAAAGTATATTGCCAAGATAACACACACCTTGTGCTGACTGGATTAACCTTCATAGCTGAGATACATTTGAGCATCCACTTCATGCCAGAACTTGTCAATACAAGTAGGAAGTGGGAGATTTGGGCCAGCATTTATTGCTACAAGGAGAAATGAATCAGCAAGTCAAGATGGCTCACAGAATAAATATGCAAACCAGACCTTACATAAGAAGCTTAGAACACGTCTAAAACTTTTTGAAATAAAGAAATTACAAGAATACTGGAAGTACTGAATACAGGGGTCCCTCTTCAGCCAAGGTTGTTCTCTTTACTTAGGTGGAAGGCTTGATGGCAAAACAATAAAATCCGATTTTCCTTAACTGACTCTAATTACACACAGCACCTATTTGGCAGAGTATGGATTACAAAAAGTAAAAAAACCTAAAAAATAGATTGACAAATCTTAGTATTTAACCTCTGCCCTTAAGTTTTTTTTTCATATATTTCAGCTATACACAAGTAAGAATTAATTTATGGTCTGTATGCTCACAGAATTATGGAATGGCTTGGATTAGAAGGGACCTTAAAGACCATCAAGTTCCAGCCCCCCTGCCATGGGCAGGGACACCTTCCACTAGACCAGGTTGCTCAAAGCCCCATCCAACCTGGCCTTGAACCCTTCCAGGTTTCACCCTCACAGGACAGAATTTCTTCCTAATACCTAATTTGTATCTGCCATCTTTCAGTTTAAAACCATTACTACTCGTCCTATCACCACACTTCCTGAGAAAGAGTTCCACCCCATCTTTCCTGTAGCCCCATTTAAGTACTGGAAGGCTGCTATAAGGTCTCCCTGGAGCCTTCTATTCTCCAGGCTGAACAACCCCAGCTCTCTCAGACTGTCCTCATAAGGGAGATGCTCCAGCCCCCTGATCATCTTTGTGGCCTCCTCTGGACCTGCTCAAGCAGGTCCATGCCCAGCCCCAGAGCTGGACACAGTACTTTGGGGGGAGAAGGAGCGGGGTGTGGGGTAAGTTGGGGTGTCTCATAAGAGCAGAGTAGAGGGGAAGAATCACCTCCCTCAAGCTGCTGGCTACAATTCTCTTGGTGCAGCCCAGGATATGATGGTTGGCTTTCTGGGCTGTGAGCACCCATTGCTAGCTCAGAGTCTGTTTTCCATCCATTAATATTACCAAGCCCTTCTCCACAGGGCTGCTCTCAATGTTCAGTACTCTTAAATATACATTGATACACTACCTTCATGTTTGACCTAAGCACTTAGCAGCTTGACAAATCATGGCAGTTGATCCAGAAACCTATTCATTACAAATCTTTGATAAACTGGAGAACGCACACTCAAATGGCATTAAGAAGCCTCTATCCAAGAGGATCACAAAACATCAGGAACACTTACTAGGTCTCTTGCAATACCTATGGTAAATATGTCACCATAACATGCTTTACAATTCAACTATTCAAGATCTGCCTGCAGCCACAAGCCTATTACAAAGCCAGCATTCGCTACCCAGTACTGTTATTTTTAGCTAGTAGAGATTTTCGTACCCCAATAAAGGATGATTAACCAAGCCTGCTAATGAACCAACAGTTAGGAGTGAAAAAGAGACCAGACATAAGAGAAAACTACTGCATAGAAACAAAAAGTAAACTCTAGATTAACCATTTCATTTGAATTATCCTAGCAAAACTTAATAAGCATTTCAGCACGAAAACAAGCAGATCCACAACAAAACTAGGATTATACAAGATTCTAATGCAACATAAAATTATTTGGAACATCCAAACAATTGTATCAGCCTATTCTCTTATACATATTAGGGAATGTTATTGAACAATATGAACAGCATAGCAAAGGAAAGGACCCTCTCTAAATCCAAGCTGTGTGCTGTTGCCTGAATTTCCTGCTTTGTTGTTGTTAGCTTATCAGTAAATAGGACAGTAATGGCTTATTAAAAGTCTCAGCCACATGATAAAATCGCTTCTCTTTCGTGACAATTTCTTCATGGTATCACTCACTAGTCAGAGAACTATGAAAGAAATCTCTGAAGTTTAACAGAGAAAAATGGCACTTTATCCAATTCTCCGTAATCAAGGATCTACAGAAATAATTCTGAAGCACTCACATATAAAGTACTTTTTATAAATTTAATTAGGATTTTCACCCAAAAAAAAACCAAATCTGCATCTCAAACTATTTTTGCCTTTCCTCTTCACTAACCTTTTTTATTAAAACCCACTCTTTCCCCACAAACCCATTTTCAAGCACAAGTTCCAACACTTGTACTATCTTTTCATAATGGATCCTAATTTAAATCTTAAGACACCTGCATTTTCAAGCACATCATTTCTACAATTCTATTAAGCATTTTAAACAGTATTTTTGCTAATAAAATATTTCTCCTCTGAAAAGTCAAACTATCCACTCTCTGTGGATAGTTAAATATTTGTAAGTGTATTCTACCTACATTCTTGAATCAGAGCAAGAGATGGAGAGAGCAGAGTGAAAAATGCATTTGCTCAATAGTCCTAACTGGGATTTAAGACAGTATACTAAAATCAAAATTATCCTGCTGGAGATGCTACTCCAGTATATTAAGATCAAAACATATTGTGATCTGCTAAATATTTTTGTGGCATTTCAATAAGGCATACACCTACTAAAAAAACAACACATCATTCTGGTTATATTCTCCCTACAATTCTTTACAAATTGCTATACACATCTGCTGTTGAATTATGTGATTAAAAATAAATTTAAACAAAAAAAAAAAATAAAATAAAATAAAACCTTCAGTTTCAGCCTACCCAAAACATACCACTGACAATGCAAGGACCATACAATACCAAAACAGTACATGCTTGCAACTGAAAAACCCGAAGTCAGCCCCCACAAAACAAACAAATAATAAAAAAAAAAAAACAAAACAAAACAAAAACAAACAGAACAAAACAAAAAATACAGTCATATTAACCTTTCTCTAGATAGGATAACAGCCTTTAAGTTAACAGTTTCAAACAAATGCTCTTGGGTAAGCTTTTTTTTTTTGCACATAACTACCTGAATACACTACCATAAAATGGGTTTCTACCTTGCATACATTATGTAGCATTCAAAGTAAACAATGCAGAAAATTATAGCAGAAGCAATGGACACCAGGTTGCTCGCACACAGCTATATAAAAATGTTAAAACCTTAGACACACAGACCATGTCTGTGGCCCAAGTGCAACAACAGACTGTGCCTGACACTGCAGTAAATACACCTAGCACTTCTTGACAGAAAGCAACCATAAATCACACTTCTTATACAGCTTCCCTACAAGACACTGTAATACAAATTCAGCAGTTAAAACAGAAGTTTGTCATTCCTACATGTGAGGGTGAGAGAAGATATTACTAGTACACTGTAGAGTAAATGGTAAGCGCACCCAAAACATTTATTTCTCTTTATCTCCTCAAGACACCTGAGCAGTCACTTACCCGAATCACTCCACCACTGCCAATTCACACCATCAGAGTTTGAATCAGTTTCTGAACTTGGACCACAGAATCACCAGGACGCAGAACAGAGTTTATTAAACCATCCACAGGATCTGTAAAAAAGAATTAAGAATTGGTTTCAAGATGACTGGTATAAGGGGCCTTGCACAAAAACTAAGACAGTTTCAAATCCACACATTTGTTTTACACCAGAATTAAACACAGAAGACACAGAAGTGGTAGTATGTAACTTACCATTACAACCACCATTCTACAACTACTCGGTTTTGCCCTCTGCTAAATCTCAAAGTAACGCAAACAGAAAAAGCAGTGCGCCAAAACACAAAAAAGGTAGAACTGATTATCATCTCCTCCTTCTACGGCAGCCAAAACAAAACATATGCATTGTTAGCAAGCTTGAGTTCAAAACAGCTCCCTTTGTTACTTGTATGAATGGAGTTTTAATGCAATTATCAGGTTAACAAAATGTAACCAAAACCAACAAGGAATTATGTGCAGGACCTCAGCTGGATGACTTCCTCTTAAAGCACTGCTGTTCTGGAGAGTCTCAGGCACATTCTCTGAAGGAGAATCTGTACCACCCACACTGTCACAAATACTCTCACAGCCCTCATGGGGAAATACAACTCCTTGCAACAGATGAGGCTTTTAAAAAGCTGCAATTATTTTAATTGGTCCTGCCAGCTGCCTTTCATTTAGCTTAACATGAGGTTTTACTGAAAGTCTGCAGCCACAGCCATTGGCAAGAGTGGAGACAGTTGCTTACAAGCAGTTGGATCTATTTCTGAGAAGCTTACTCTGCCTGGTGAGCTTTTGTGGAGTACTGCCATCTACTCTATATACTGAGGGTACAAAGCTTTCTTATGTGGTGCTGGCTAGCAGGCCTGAATAACGCAGTAAGTCTAAGATGTATATGGAACATACTCCATTGCCTGATCTTGACATTTGATGGAGCCAGTTCAAATAAGGTGCCAAAACATAGAAGAAAGAGGATGATAAATTGCAAAACACAGTTTTGTCATCTGCTTTTAAAACAGCAAATACATCCCACAAAAAAAAAAAAAAAAAACCACCACAACAACAACAAAAAAATACATCTAATACATCTGGGTTTAAGTTGATATCTGAAATCTTTCCTGAAAGAGATCAGATCAAATCCTGATTAGCCCACTCTTTTCATGAAGCATTCAATATACAGTTGCAAAACTGAGTTTTATGTTTCCTAGAGTTTCTAAGAGAAAGAGCAGGAGTAACAGAATCATCATTAAAATAACTATTTTTGCCACTTCCAGAACACTTAGATTTAACAAACTCTAAAACCTCCATATGAATACAATTGCTTAACAGATCTCAGCTACCTTTTCCAAAACACTGATATCACCTCCCCATGGTACCACAGGCAGCACAGCTCGAAACTGAAGGATGCCAGGGTTGATAACTGCACTGCTACTTTCCTGGTTTGTTCTGGAATAAAAAATTTGGGTCCCTTACCGTGGTGGCTCTGGAACTTTCCTTATGAATTTTTCCTACTGTTTTCCCACCTACAGCCAAAGTTTTTGCATGACTGAAAATACTAACATGAGTATTTTATTAAATCAATTTTATAATATGGCCAGCACCTCCCTTCATACATACCCCATTTAGGAACTGCTGCTCTATGATGTAAAGACTGAAACAGCTTTCTTGGCTCTTAACTAAGAAGAACTGAATAACTTACTTCTCCCTTGTCTCACAATCTTACACGGAAGATTAAACTTTCAGTTCAATTCAAGATGTAAGTGGCATCCTCAGGCAGTAGACTGCTGAATATGCTGACTTCTCCAAATTACATGTTTAAGTTTGTGACTACCTCTATCAAGTCTTGAATTCTGCGGTACTCTCCAGTAGTGCTTCAATCACCAACCCTTCCACTGTATCCCAGGTAGCAAGAAAAATAATACAGTAACCGTAGGGCTATATAAACAATGGACAATTATACAGATCATTATGTAAAAGATGATTATCTAAGCATTATCTAAGGACTGGATAGGAGAACTGGAACACTCCTCCACCCTCTGTTCTCTCCCCCTGTTGACAAAGATGTTACAGAAGTTCAAAAGACAGACATCAGTTTAACTCCACTGGGAACAAGAATATATTTCCTATGACCATTAACCACCTTGCTACTAAGCTAAAATTTCAAGATTTCTTTTTTTCTTTAATAAGACAATTGACTGCCCTGGCATGCATGCTGCAAGTGCTCAGTGTTAAGCTAGATGCCAAAAGTTAAGGGTTGGAAAGGAATAGGAAAATAAACATTTTACACATTTTTAGAAGAACGATCTTTCGCTCTGGCACTTATTCCCCTAATGTAAGTTTTCTCCACAATATGATGACTTCGAAATTAAGTAGAACTAAGGCTACAGCCTACTTCTAGCTTCTTCATTACCATATACTCCTAATTTTTATTTAAAACGCATACTGTCTAATTAACACCAAGAACCCATTCCAACTCAAACCACTGATGGGCAGGTCACTGTATGAAAAAGCACCCATATTACATTTCAGTTCTAAACTCATTTCAGAAAAGTTATGAACAACAAAAAATTTTCAGAACTATATAGATTTGCACTGTTGAATGCACAAAATCATCCCTTGCAGACAACATTTGACAGAGAACAAGTACTTTTGTGGGTGTGAAGACCATTGTGAGAACAATCAACTTGGATTTTACTCCTTTACCACACTTGTGAAAATCATGCTGCATTTCAAATTAAGTTGTGAATTAAAAACCAGAAGAAAATGTTTTCATCATCCTCTGTTACTGTTGCTCCTTTTTTATAGTAGCTCTATGACATGAAAGATCAGGTTTGCCTGATCTTTCTAGCTACATGAAATTTTGTTTAGTTCTTTCAAGGAAGGTGAGGTTAGTATTGCTATCAAGCACTTCAGACAAAGAAGATATCGTAGAGCCCATGCTTAAATCACTAGTACTATTACATTATAATCCAAGCCCATCTATCATTTAACTAGACTTACTGGAGAGGGGGACCACACTGGAGCAGGGGGAAGAAGTTCCAGGATCTCCCCCCACTGAAGATGGAGAAGCAGCAGCACTGACTGCACCCCCCATTCCCTGCCCCTGCGCCACTGGGGGAGGAGGTAGAGATATCAGGAGCAGAGCTGAGCCCGGGAAGAAGGGAGGGGTGGGGGAAGGTGTTCTCAAGATGAGGTAATGCTTCTCAATGTCCTTCCCTGTTAAGTGTTGTTGCTGTTGTTAGTATCTGAAATAAATTTATGTCCTTTTTTCCTTCCCCTAACAAGTCTGCCTTTTGCCCATGACCATAATGGGTGATTTATCCTTTCCTGTCATTATCTCTAATCCTGAGCCAGTGTTTATTTTATCTTCCTCTGTGCTGGAGGGGGGGAGGGGGAATGAGTGCCTGTGTGGTGCTCAGTTGCCCTCTGAGCTCAAACCACAACAGTTAGACTATATTCCACTTTAAAAAAAAAAAAAAAATCAGTAAGAAGTGCTTAAACATACTTGACTACTATCCTTCAAAGTGTTAGTAGATAATTTGGTTATATAGAAATTCAACTTGACAGGAGAGGACATCAACTTGAAGGTACTTTAAGTACTTGCTGTTGCATAGCTGAACTGTTCTTTTACACAGCCTAAGCACCTAAATTTGATGTTGGATCCCAAATTCTTCTCCAGATGAATGACGAGAGGGTAGGGGAGGAAAGGATGGGAGCCCTCTTCAGCAGCATATGTTAATCTCACTAAATTAAGCTTCACTACTGGCTATAATTTCAGCATGCAAGACTCAGTTTGTATCTAAGTATCAGGACTGATACCAGAAAATGCATGATCTTGGCAAAAAGAGAGTAATTTCTACTTTGGATCTTAAAATACCCATTTTTTCCTTATTTCAAAATACTTAGATATAAATATACACACGTATACCTAAAAAGCAGTGTCCAACTTGTATTCTAATCACACAACAGAATAAATAAATGTAAAAATATCTACAGTTATCTTTCATGAACCGTTTCTGCCCAGTGTTTTAAAACATGACAGATGCACTGAAACTACACTCCCATCCCTCAAAAGTTTCTCTAACTCTTTCAAAAGAGACAAGACTATAGCATCAAAAAAAAAAAAAAAAAAAAAAATCTACTTCATGTTTTAGGTGGGGAAAAGCCAGAAGAAAGATAACTTTAAAAACAGAACACATTAATGCATTTCATAATATTTCAATCACATACTCACTTGGAGGGGGAAGGATGAATACAAACATGAGGTTATGCCAAAAAAAGTACACATGCCCTCAGGTTCAGAGTTGATTCCAATTTACCATGCTCTAGATTCTTCTTACAGATAAGGTCTCACAAATAAAGTAGACACATGAAGGAAACATGAAAAAATGTACAATTGCTTTATGCTCATTTGCAAGGTTAACAGACTTCATTTTTTAATTCCTAACCAGACTGTGACTGTATTTTAAAGAAAAATCCTAGTATATTTTGAATCTGGAGGTGGGGGGAAAGGGGGGGGGGGGGGGGGGGGCGGGAGGCGGAAGACCACACCACATTTTATCTTACAAAATCAAATCTTGGTTTTCTAAGATAAAGTTTTGGTCCCAGAGAATTTAATATCATTACAGTAGTTCCTCTCAACTATGCAGAAGAGCACCATTCAAGAACTACCTTAAGGTAAGAATTCACCATCTCCAAATCCTGCACAGGTTAATCCTTGTATGACATAATTTGAAAGAAAACCATAGAAGTTTTGAAAGAAAACCATAGAAGTTACCTTCTCAAACATAACACTCAAAATAATTTGACACAATGTATTTTGCTGAGCTATGTTTCTATCCTTGCACTCTAGGAAAAGAAATTCTCTTCCAGTAATAACTACTTCCTCTGATGTGCTACATTGAATACTTATCAATCAAGCAGAAGATACACAAGATATATTTTTCAGATTAAAGAGCAGGACATACAAAGAGACAACTACTGGCATGAGAAATTACTTATCTGCTTAAGGATGTCTTCAAAACTGTCCATCTGACATATTACTATTCCAGTAAACGGGCAATGTTCAGCTAAG